ACACTCAGCTGAATCGGTCATGGATCTGCAGGGGGGTCAGCCGAGCGGCCACAGATAATCTGGGGGACAGGTTGAAAGCAGAGCCCTTATGTTCCCCGGTGACGGTCTCCTCCTGGGGACCTTCTGCTTCTCGGGCCACCACTGCCGAGTCCCACCTCTCCCTGCTGGCTCCGTCTGAAGACAAATCTGGGGCACCTGCTGGGGGGAGGCAGGGAACGCTGGGCTGAGGAGCTTCGTGAGGTTTGAGTTTGCCCACAGACGCTCGGAGAGGCTGGCGCCTGACCCACTTTGAGGGGAGCACAGAGACGGGCGCAATACGCACGGTGTTGTTCTGAATACACAATCAGAGGAAGGAGCCCTGTGGGTCCTCGCCAGCCCAGACCGAGGAGGGCTGTTGTGCTTTATTAGAAAGAATCGGGTTTTTAATAACACCAAATGGGGCACCCCAGGCTGAGCCAGCTGTGTGTGTTCCCAATGGGGAGGCACCCGCGGCGGAAGCTGGTAATGGGGGTTAAAGTAATGATGCTGCCTCGGCCCCTCCAGCTGAAGAGCTCCCTGCCAGGCGTCCCAGGTGGGGACAGTCTAGTCATTTGCTTAGTGGCTTAGGGCTCAGACTCTGTGGCCCCAGCTCCTGGGTCTGTGGGACAGCACTTCCGGCTGTATCTCTGCCAAGTGTCCGGTTACTGACCCCTGACAGAGTGAGAGTCAGGACCTAAAGAGGAAGCCCCGGGCCATTCTGTGAGATGTGCCTGCTGCTCCTTTTTCTCAGGCTCAAGCTTCCTTGAAGGTGGTGAGGGTGAGGGTTGGTGGGGCTGCCAGGGTGCACGGGGGACCGGCGCTGGGGTGGGGGTGGGGGGGCTGACAGAGCCAAATGGCAGTGCTTCAAGATCTCACTGCCAGAGCCACAGCTCATTCTGGAGGTGGCTGGGGCCATGTCCCTGATCCCAGGGCCACCACAGATGATGACAGCAGGCCTGTACACCGTGGCTAATACATGAATGCTGACCCAGGGCCAGGCACTGTGCTAACAGCCCTTTCCACACGATCCCAGATCCCATCTTATCTTCAGGGCTGAGCCCTGCCTTGGCCATGGCTAGACAAGGAGGCTGGCTGAGGCAGGCCTGGGCTGTTGGTGCACCCCAGGACGAAGTTGAAGGGAACAATGGGAGGAGGGACCAGAGCTGAAGCTCTGGGCTCCCGAGCCTGCCACTGATCTGAAGCCGCAGCCCTGGGGCAGGTGACCGGACAGCAAAGGGGGGGTCAGGAAGTCCATGGAGGCTTGAACAGTTTCACTTGCCGGATGGCAACTGGAGACCTTCAGAGGCACCTGTGACCCAGATCTCCCAAACTGACCAGCCTGGTCTCCCCAGAATTTATTTGGGGAGGAAAAGAGATGAATCAACGCTGGCAGTTGTCATATATGCTGTGACATTTTCCGGGACAAGTGGCTACTTGCAAAGGCCATCCAACCCTTTAAGCCCTTTTCTGGCGGCATGAGAGGCATCCGGGGCTGATGAACTGGAGGACAGTGTGGAGGAAGGCCTCGAGGAACCAGCCTAAAGGCTTCTCAGCCGGTCCTGAGCTCTGGGGGCCCTGCTTGGGGCGGGGCTCCTGCAGTCTTCCCCAGCCTCATTTCAACAGATGGCAGAACAAATTCCTAATTAAGCTCAAGAAAGTTTCCGGCTCAGCACATTTATTTATGATTTTCCGGTCCCTTTGGTGCTCATTCTTCCCTTTTGTCTTACTAGAACCCAAGTCGGCTTATTGCCACCCTGCGCTCCCGCTCGGCTCTCTTGAACCGTCTGGGCCCTAATCTGGGGAGAGGGAAGGGGCAGGGTGTGCGGGAGTGTGGGAAAGGAGGGAGGGTCATGGGGGGACACGGCCACACAGCTGCTTCTCAGAAGCAAGATGTAAAGGAGTTCATTGCAAACTGAAACTTGACGCAGACTTGCGGGGACAAACGGGGGTTTGGTGCTGTTAGAGTGCTAGAAAAATCACCTGGGGTGAGCCTGGCCCCCTTGCAAATGCTCAGTGGGCAGAACCCGCCCTCCCCACAGTAGAGGCTGCCTGTCCGCTGGTCCTGGGCAGCTCCCTGGGATTCTGTCCCCTGCCTCAGCTCCTGATGCTGTGTGGGTGCCCGGGGCCATGACGAAGGAAACACCTCCCACCAGATCCACGGAGGAAAGGGCCCTGGTGGCTCCCACGCCCCCAGCTGGGAATCAAAACCTAGGCTTGGCTACAATTTAGAGTTGACCTAACTGGGCAATTCTTTCACTTCAGAGGGTTCTGTGTCACACAGAGGTTTGCTTTCTAAGTGCAGGGGTCTGACGCTCTCAGGAAGTAAAAGGACTGTCTGCGCAGTCACCCGGAGCGCTCGAGCACAGGTCTGCAGAGAGGCCAGTGCCATCTGATTATCTCTTGGATCGAAGGGAGAGAAGAGACAAACGACTTGCATTGACAACAATGTCACCATGCAAACACGTGAGTGTGGAGGACCTTCACATGCCGGTCTCTCCCACAGGCCCTCTCTGCTGACAAGCACTCCTCCCCACCCCACCCCCCCCCCGCCCCCCGGCCCAGGGCGACCACCACCTTGCTCTGCAAAACGGTGTCACGAGGGGGCAGGACAGCCAGCCATGGTGGGTGGGGTGGGTGGGGAGGGGAACAGAGCAGTGTTCTAAAGCAATCTGAGCCACTGATTGCACTCTGTGAACCTGGTTCTGGGGAGGAGAGGGCTCGAACAGCAGCATGGAAGGGGGAAGGGCTGCTCTGAGAGGCTTTTGAGGTCCCGGGGGCCCTGCTGGCAACAGAAACTCAGTGCTTTCTCTGCAGGTGGGAGCCGAGCGCGGGCCAGGTCTCAGGTCTGGGGGATGTCTCATATCCTGCACACGGACAATCACTCTTTATTTCCTGTCAGCCTCCTCCTCCCGCTCTTGACCATCTCCTTCCTTTTAATGAATGTATTGCTCACCAGACGCAGGAAGGACTTGGTCACGCTCAACAGGCTCAGGGGTGTTTCGGAAGCTATGAACTGTCACTATCTGGGTAGCTCTCTTGTGGGCTGACACGGGGATCCATCATGGTGGCTAAAGCGAGGAGTCCTTCCACCTCTCTCTGCCCTGCCTCTACCCTCCCCTGTGGCTGTTGATGCAGCAGGTCAAGGACAGCCAATCCTAAGTGGGGGAGGGGCAAGACTTTCAGGACCTTGGGACCTGCCTGTAGGGAGCAGAGGAGGGCCAGGAAGAGAGGAGGAATACTTTCCTCTGAGTACTGCTTTACTGAGAGAACTTTTCCTTCTGCAGGTCACTGGGGCTTTCACCTACTTCCTAGAAGCAGACTTGTAAGAAGAAGGGTGGAGAGCAGTGGCTGTGATCCCGGCTGATCCCAACTTTGGGAAGCCCTCCTGGCACCCAAAAGGGCTCAATTCTAGCACCATACCCTTGGGGCCAGCGCGATCCTCATGTTCTAAGTAATGAGTTCTCATTTTCCGCCAGGTGGTCTCGTTACTTTAACCCAGGGCTTTGAGATGTGTGAATAACATTTGCAAACAGCACTGCACAGGTGCGTATAGGACTGGACCGGTTGAGCGGGGTAGGTAAGGAAGCCCGCCCCATCCAGGGATTGGACAAGTGCCCTCCTGCTCCCTGCACTTGGCTGGGTGATGAAAGACAGGTTTATCATGTTACAGAGGCCTCAAAGTTCACACTGCAGTGATCAGTCCTGCTCTCAATTCCTTGCAAGGAAAGACCGAGGTGGAAAGAAGTTACAGGCTGCTGCACTGGGCTCAAGGCAGGACTTCCCAGTGCTGACCACCATCCCTTCAGAGTGGAGCAGGGGCCTTCCTCACCACGAGCTCCTGGGCAAGAGGTCACTCTGTGCACGCTCATGGAACCTGCCCTTGGGGGAGCAGGGGCCTGTGCTGGATGCCTGCCATGGTCCCTTCCCATGGAGATACCAAGACCCCTATGACACGGTGGCTCCTCATGTTGGGATCCTGTAATCCCGAGTAGAGTAGGCAGAACCAGAAGATCGGATGCGCCAGAATTGCCAGAAATCACTGTTATCAGAAGCTGCTCCGTGCTCGTCACGATCTAATTGAGTGCTGGCATGGCATGAGAAACAAGGTGCACCCTGAGTCCTGATGCTGGGTGAGGGAGCAGAGGCAGTGGCAGAGGAAGTAGAGAAGAGAGTCGGGAGGGAGGGGACATGACCCCGGGGTCCTCGGGGACCTCTGTGCCTGGGCAGGTGAGGTGCTGGAGGTGGGCAGACTCACTCTGCCAGGCCTCTCCATCACAACAGCAACAGTGTTCTATGCTTTTAGCCCAAAACAGGAATACAAATGATCCTGGAGCATGTGCCCGCCAACAGGGGCTGCAGGGACCCCACACCCTCCGGTCCTGGGTCTAAGGGGCTCAGCAGCGTGGACCTTCCAGAATGGTGCGGCGGAATGAATGAGCTCCCAACCACAAACCTGCTTTAGTGGGTAGAGACCCCCAAACTACCCCTGGGGACAGTGGTGCTCTTGTTCAGCAGGGCATCAGTCAAAAGGCATCATGGATAAGGTGTCTTTTCAGGCCCTGCTGGCCAGGAATGTGGAGGTGGCTGCCACAGCCCACTGGGTTTTTGACTGCCACACGGTGCACCCACGAGAAGGCAGAGCAGTGCCGCTCTTGTGGCCTGAGGGAGCAGAGACAGACCCGGGAGTGTAGGAGCCTTGGCCCAGCCTGTGGGTTTTGGTTGGGGGGGGGGAGGCGGCGCACGTGGGTGTGTGAAAAAGGCTGGGCTTAGCTCTGGCTCTGTCCCCACTATGTGATCCTGAAGTCGGTACTGTATTTCCACACTACTGAAAAGGTGGGCAGAGTCCCTGCATCCTCTTGGCCTTTAAGAGCCCAAGGAACCCGTGCCACATTCCAGCTATGCCGCGAGGGTTCACACACGCTCGGAACGGGTAAGGGAAGGGCAAGGGGAGAAAGGACAGACTCGAGACGTTTCTCACTCACCAACCCATCTCATCAGGGAGGTCAGGATCTGCAGGTACTTGGTCTTCTGGACGTCAAAGAAGGTGAAGGGTCCAAGGAGGAGAGTGAAGACAGCCTGTAATGACAAAAACTAGCATGAGGGAGTGAAGGGGCTGGGTGCATGTGTGGGAAGGACACGCTGCCCACGCAGCCTCTGCCCGCGGTGGGCACCTGGACCCACGAGGCTCCCTGGGGGCAAACAGCATCACGTGGTGCATTCCCCTGGGTGCAACAGAAATCCAGAGCCCTGCCGTCAGCCGTTCCTCGTGCCTCCCGTCCAGAGACTACCTCCTGGGCTAGCCCCAGGCGACAACCCAGGGACATTGTCGGCTACTTCTCTTCAACAAACGCTGAGGGTTCCTGGACCAGGCACACAGCTGGGCACGAAAACCAATTCGGTGTGAGACGACAGGGAGATGAAGATCTGAAAGGAAGCCCAGGTGTGCCTCAGGCCCCCAGAGTCTACTGGAAAGAAAGGACTGGGGAGGACGGGACACAGGGGCCCTGACAACACAGCGCTGTGGAGACAACACCGTTCTGAAGGCTTCAGAGGAAAGAAGTCATCAGGATGTCGTTAATCAGCAATGTTTATAACTTAAAGAGAAGAGAAAACCTGCAGAGCCAGAGCCAGTGGCTTCCAGGGCAAATCTCTCAGAGGAACGTCCTGGACCAAGAAGAGAACGGGCCACAGCCGGGAAAACTGGGAGATGAGTGTGGGGCTCAGTTCTCTTTCCCTTTGGAGAACAGGGAAAAGAAATTAAGAAAAAAAAGAAATCAAGCTCTGTCTTAGAAAACCAGTCTGGGGGAAATCTGAACCCTCTGTGCAAAAGAAAATGGGGGTAAAACCTGGCACAGCAGAGCTGGGCTGGGGGCTGAGGGAAGGTTAGGATTTCCTGCCAAATTGGATGCTCGGGGAGCAGAGAATTAAAAGCTGCTGGTTGGAGTTATGATGATGGGACCATTTCCAATCTGCCACTTCGGAAGCAGCAGAGGCATCAGACCTTATTAACATTTACACTGCGCCATTTTATCACGTTAATGCTAATGACACTCGCCAGAGGTGCGGCAGGCGGCAGAGGCCCGAATGTGGGGAGCAGGGCCCGCTTTGGGGAGTCAGGCTCTGGCCCTGTGATCTGGGTGAAGATATCACAGCTGCTCAGCCTGGCGGCCAGTCCCCGGCTCCCTGGCTCCCCCGTGACAGGGTGACAGGCAGGCGGGCGCTGGCGGAAGGGGGGCTGTGCCCGTCCCTCCCCCACCCCCAACCCCAAGGAGGGCAGGATGTGGGAGAAGCTGTGACCTCTTATCCAAGTCCATTATCACTGTGAGAATGAATGACACCAAAGACTAAAGTAGTGCTTAAGGAGAAGGCTCTAATTAGCTGGGGAACAAGGCCTCTAGGAGGGCTCCAGGGCTGGGAGACTTCTGGAAAGGGCTTTCTGCTGGGGGCCTGCAGCCAGCTCTGCTTCTGTCAGGAGGAGGCGAAGCATTGCCATTAGGCTAGGGGTGTTGGGGGGGAGGAGCAGAGAGGGGGGAACACGGCGGGGGGGGGGGCGGTGTCCCCTGCAGGC